GAAGTATTGCTCGAGCGGTCGTTTGTCAAAAAATCCACGTTCATTTACATATACGATTGCGGTTAAAGTCCGAGCTGCTAACGATTTTTGGGTTGAGGAGCTGCTTAAGGCTGTGGCTGGGGAGCTAGAGAGCTGAGCTTAAAATTTTTGTCTCACACGTACATAGAGAATATCCTTGCAAAGTATCAGCTTTCTACGTTACCTGGCTCGCGAAATCGTTTCCCGCCAACATATTTTTTTGGGGGTCCCGTACATGGGATTCAGGCGCATATAGGGAAAGATCTTAAAACGGGAGGATGCGGTAGGAACATATATCCAAAGTTTCAGCTTCCCAGCCTTCTTGCTTGCTGAAATGAAAGTGGATGACAAAATGCACTCGCTTTCCGAACACATACACACAGACAGCCTCTCGACAATGTGCGTTTTTACTGGTTGTAGCAACGCTATAGCGCTGGTACAGCGCTGCACAGCAAAAGCGCATAAAAAAATCGGATTTGCGACTTGCTGTTATATAGCTCAAAAACTGCCATAATTCGTGACATAATATCGGTGCAAAAAGGAACTGGATACGTTGAGTTTCTGATATCTTAGAATGTTTGATAAAGTATTAATTCTGATGGGCGCCATGTTGTGGGTGCTAATTGCAAATGTTTTTAATAGCGCATCGGAATGATATGAGTGGTGCTGCAATAAAAACCTGCGTTTAATATAGCTAATTGTGTCTAGTGAAGGACTGGGTGCGTTTAACTTTTATTAGAACACGTCAAATCAAAGTCCAAATGTAAACCTACCAAATATCCCTTGAAATGCCCGCGCACTGAATCCCGGTCCACTTGTTCCCAGTGGAGGATTACAGCAGTGCAGTTCAAGAATTCAGATACGCTAAAGCCATCTGGAGATAACAAAGGCACTGCAACGAAGTTCATTGTTTAGTCTTTCACTGGAACTTCAGTATCAGATTACTTGCATAAAATTCGATATTCATCACCGTCTTCTCCTGAGAATCCTTTAACACTTGCTGGCTTCACAACTGCGCGGCCAAAATTATTTAGTGCTTCTACTTGGACAAGATATTCCCGAAACGTTGGTTGCTCTCGAACAACTGTGTGATTCTGGAAGTTTCAGCAAGTATGTGCATGAAGTTTTAATACCTGATTCGAGAAGAATCAAGAATGTAACGCACAGCTAAAGAATCTTCGATATGTATTTCCGTCCAAACGGCTCCAGGTTCATTCAGCCTATATCGAACAATGTAGCGCAGTCCCGGACCATTCCAATCGTATTTGTCCATAGGCTTCCACTCAATGATCATATTGTTTGGCTCACTTCCTTCTGCTCTCACACCTTTTGGATTTGTGTATGGATATGATGGTTTCGTTGAGCAAATAACTCCTTCCTTGTATCCTGGCTCGCTCTCTCCGTGCGAATTGCGGGCTATTACTCGAAATGTATAATTCACCTAAAATCACTGCTGTTGATACGCACATTTCATTGCTCTTTTATTTTACCACATACAAGTATTACATCCTAACTGCATATACATCCTGGTTTTACATTTTCCTCGCTCTTGCGTTTCGATGAAATCGAATTCCTCACCCAGGGTGATAGTGTAACATCGGCCTGATAAAAGTCCGCAGCAGTGTTCTCTTCTTCCACCGCAGTTTGCCACAATCCCTAAAAACATTTTGCTCTTACAACGTCAAGTGGTTTATCTATTTTTAGCACATTTTTATTTCGGGGGAAAACCTCTTCAAATTCTGTGTGCATCTGAATGAGGAATTGCTTAATCTGATCGCCGTGGTCATCGGGACGTCGCCACCTTAGCATTGCTCTGCGCTCATTGCAATCGATCTCCGTTATTGTAGGCGCTTCTGGCACATCTGAAAAAAAGAAGTGTGACACATACATTGGCCAAGTTGGCGATTACAAACTTAAGAAAATTAACTTGAAGGTGAAAAGAGCTGGCGTAGATGCCTGCACCGTTGTCACATCGGAAATTCCAGTGGTGTTCTTGACCATGTTTGCATTTCCAGAAAAGCTGTGGTACTTCCAGCAGAGGAGGGAGGGGAGGTTTTAATCGCTCGATTAGAATTTCAAAGCACTGTTCATACCAAGCACAATTAATTCAACGCCTGAGATTTTCACGTCAACATCAGTGAGAGCAATGCAATCGATTGCACCGGAATGCCAGCCGCGAGTATTCATAATTATCAGCGAACTGTTTGTTATTCTGAAAATGTTGGGACTTAACTTCCTTTTTAGGCTTTCTGCCAAACTTCAAAGTTGTTTAAGATTAATACAGAAACTATCACTTGAAATGGACGGATTCATTGATTGGTACTCCGTCATGCGTCCATGTATACTCAACTGTAAGTCGAGGATCACAGACCGCTTCACACACGTATTCCAACGATTCATGCGCTTCCACAACGGATTTTTTCGGAGTTGGCACACGCACGAAGTGTGTGGGACCTATTTTAATGATAAGTCTTAGAATTAGAGAGAAAAATTCTCTTGAATTATCGAATTGATGTCAGTTAGAGAATTATGACAAAATTCTGGGGGTAATAAAACAACTTATTAAGGAAGGAAGGAAGGAATTAAAATATTACATACGAAGTTTTGTAAAATCACGAAGACAAATAAATATTCAAGCGAATCATTGTAAAATGAAGTCAAAAAGTAATTTTACTGAACACTTGAAGCTTATTATAAGCACGATTGATGCCATATTTGTTGGATACATTGCAATAATACAAGCCTTCGTCAGCCGAATTCACTTGCGATACGCGTAATGTATAATTCGAAAGTATCTGGAACAATGAATTTGGCTAGTTTTTCGCTGTTTTTATGCATGTTCTAAATAAGTAACACGGATGGCTGGAGCGGTTATACGCTTTATGATAGGCTGGCACAGGCTCACGGTAGATAAATGCGACAAAACACGTTATAGTTCATCACGGTGGTTTTTTTGACAATACAGTGCAGCGTAGTCACTTACATAAGCTGCACAGTAGGAAGCAAAAAAGCGTGAAAATTGATTTTACGTTCCAGGAAAAATGCCGTAGCTAAATTCACATGCTCTCAAGATTTTAGATTTTTGGCTTTCATAAATCTAAAGTCGAATTTCTAAGACAGGCAGACAGACATACACACGCACACACACACACACA